GTTTACAACCGGATTCAGCACGTCCTCTCTGCTCTCAGCTTCAACTTGACACGTCACCCACGAACACGTCAGCGTTACCTGGAGATGTCTGCTCAAAACACCCCTGGTGTAGACTGTCTCACCACGACCCTTCAGGAAGCTTGTCCAGAACTGGTCCTTGGCGAGAAGGTGTTGTTTAGGTGACTCTTAGTCCGTTTCAGCCCGGCTAGAAAGATTCCAGCTGTGGTTTCGGTCGTCTTTCAAAATAAAAGTCTCCCTCGGGAGATAAAACACTTTAAAGAGACCTGGGTCTCAGGTGGGCAGGAGCTGCTGGCTCCTTGCCCTGGACTTCAGGTCACCCTATTTAGCTGATGGGTGAAGCCTGAGGCCCAGCTGTTTCTCTGGAGAGAATCAGCTTCGTCCTCCTGTCTCGGCCTCAGGAAGAAGACTGCTTGTGTCTCTAAGGCGTCCGTGTGTTAGTAAGTCAGAGTGGACTCCCTCAGATAAGCCACCAGTCAGAAAGGAAAAGAAGATAAGAGTGTTGCCAGTGAAGGTCATTGCTCTGCTTCTTTTGCCAGACTGTAAGAGATCACTGTAAACATTTTTCATGATTAATTAACACTTCTGCTTAAATAATCATCCTGAACCTGTGTCCAGATAAATGTAAGATTTTCTTAAGAAAAACTCAAAATTATATTACTGATGTTTCAGTAAAATAACACAGTGATTTATAAAAACACAATGAAAACATGGTGATGATTTTCTGTGCTTCATTAATCTATTTTAGGCACGATAAAAGAATAGAAGTCATACTTTCTTTCTTTGTGACATGTCATTATTGTGATTAACAAATGCATAAACATTCTTAGTTAAACGACCAATGAATCACGAACAGAACAGATTGTTTCTGTTTAATATCTGATAAGAGAACTGAAGTCCTCGTGTAGGTTGACATGACCCATCATGGCCTAAAATAGAGTTCAGCGTTCCTGCCTTTCTCTCAGGCCTTCTGAGACCTGCTTTGAGGCAGTAACTCRTGTTTCTTCACTCGAGGTGACTCCTACAGCTGGCTCATTCTTTTGAACAGTGGCTGTTTTGTTTCCCCAATGTATGACTGATCACAGTCCTCCTGACACTGAACAGCATACACTACTGTATATTACTCTGTTTTTGCCGGGCAACTGGATCTTTGGGGTGAACTAATCTTTGTTGCAATGTGTTTTGGGGTTTGAAAGCCACTGGGACATCATGTTTAGAGAATAAACAAGAAATGCAAGGGGGCGTTGAACCCCCGCTTGCATTTACTACATTCACATAACACGACAGGTGATGGGGCACATGACCCTCTATGAACAATAGAGCCAATCAAGCCTATTGTTAGTCGATGGCCCTCTTTTGCATGTGACTAACCTATTTGTCCATGTGGAGGCAGTGTTTTTAAGGCTGAGTTCACCTGAAACTCATCAGACTGAAGAAGTCTCTTGGAGGAGAGACAAAACGTTTCACTAAAGTAGAACCCATCCAGAGGACCTACTGATGTTTTCTTTTTGATATATTGTTATTTCTTTGCTTGTTTTACATCCAACATCATTTTCATCTTTAGTTCAATAARTACCCCCAACTCTTCCATTAAGAAACCTCCTGTGGGATGTTGAATTGTATGAAGCACCACCTTTTGGTGTGCAGGGTTTCTTGAGTTTGACTGACCTATAAAAGTTTTAGCTGACTAATGGGCTCAACACACGGGAGGTGACGTTTCTCTGTCCTGTCATTTCCTGTGGAAGTTGTGCGATGAGGCGACAATCGCTCGCCCTCATCCAGCCAAGGGACCAGTGAAAACAGTGCATGTGAAATTTCYTCCTRGTACACGTAGATGTGCACACGCGACATATGAAAGTTGAAAAATGTTCAACTTTTGTACTGTTGCCTGGAGTTATAACCGATCAGCAAGGGTTTCACTGACTGACCAATGAGAGGAGAGTATGCTCCACACTGCAGTTAGCTAACAATTTCAACATTATTTTATCTCTGTCAAACTTTCCAGTTTTATTTGACCTTTCACCAAGTGATTACTAAAAAAGGCAGCTTGATCGGAATTTGTTGGCGCCAGGGTTTTTCAATGTGCGTTTGTTTTTCAACATCATTAGCATCGCAAGATTTGTTTAGTTTACGCGTRRGTAAGSCACACTCCACCTTTTTTTGTTGGTAAAATAACCTTTACAAAAAGCAGAAGAACCAATTACACTTGGTAAAGAGCGCACAATTCACATCTGCTGTCGTTGCTATCACGTCCTGTGTGTTTGGTTTCACCCTGGTTGGGARGACAGCRGRTGATCYTTGTTTGTTGCCCCCCGTGTGTCGAGCCCCACAGGGGGATAAGGCTTTTCAACTGCTGCTCCAAAGCTGTGGAACAGTCTACCTCTTAATATCTGGTCTGCTGAGACCGCTGAGGGTTTTAAATCTTTGCTGAAGACTTGTCTCTTTTCTTTGGCTTTTGAGTGAGTTTTGAGGCTCAGTTAGAGCTGATGTCTTTGTTTTATAGTGTTTCTGTGTTTTATGTGTTTTGTTTTGACAAGTCTTGACTGTAAAGCACTTTGGTCAGTTTTTGTTGTTTTTACTGTGCTACAGAAATAAATCTGACATTAAAAGATTTAGCTGGTTTTACATGGTAACTGGTCTTTCGCTCTGTTAAAATAATGTCATGCACAGTTTCATGCAGGATCTTGTTCAATCCGTTGGTGCTCAGTGTTTGTGAGGAATGACTCTCAGCTACTACCACACCAGCTTTTAGCTCAGTATCTGTAAAAATGACACTCAAGTTGTGACTGGTAAATTGGTTTGAGGAGATCTATCTATCTAATCTAGATCTAATCTAATCTAGATTGAGAAATCAATCTAATGATTGATTTCTGAGAATTTGATTAAAAAACAAATGAACAAAGAGGCATTTACATCATCGTCCACTTTTAAAACATCATGTAATGTTTAAAATGAGCTGATGGCAGGATTTAAATATTWATCATGTTTTTTCACGAGTCGTTAAGATCCTGAGTCAACTGTTCGTGACGACTCCGGTCCGACTGATTTAAAGCCTCTCTTCTGAACAAAGACATTCATCACTTATTAAACCTACAAATTGTTTTATTTTTATCTGTTTTATTATTAAGCTACTTTTATTAAATAGTAGAAATTAACCTAAACCTCATTTCTCTGTAAAACCGATGAGTTGATTGTTGTTTTATMCAAATGCAGACGGTGCTGGTTGAGCAGTTCGACCTCCCTCTCAGTAACGACACAAAGAAATTTGCCTGTTAAACTWTAAGAATATCAATCTCACAAACAGACCATAAGAAGGCATTATTTAAAGATACATGTGGATCAGATTGCAGTTTTAAAGCGTCTGGAGGCACAGGAGCCGGATCATCAGAGACAAACAGCTGAGGTATTTTTAACTTTTATCTTCTCCATTTATTTCTCTTCTGTGAGCTGCTGAAGCTTTAAAATGTGGAATTATTTTGTGATTTATTGTATTAACTGAGTGTTTTTATTAGGTTTGGATCATTTCAGTCATGTCTTCGTCTCAAAACTGAAATGATTTTGTTCAATTAATATAGAAGAAAATATAAAATCTGAACTTAATGTTTTATTTTATTAACATGATCTAAATGTTGGTAATAACTTGCTTGGGTTGTTTAGGTTGTTTTATTGGCTCTTTTGAGTTAATACAATATTTATAAAAATAAGTCAAACCTGATTCTGACAGTTTGAAGGAAAAATTTGGTTTTTCCATAAAACTACAACATTTTATTTGTGTAAAAACTAAAATTTCAATAAGTTTGAGGATAAAATCAGGTTGACTCAACAAGGAAGTAATTAACTGAACCACTGTCATTTGTTGTTGTATCATCATTCAACAAAATGTTTTCTMTGTGTCTTCTTGGTCCCCCCTCCTCCTCACCAGGACCCTCAGGTTGAACCATGTCGGTCCAGTCCCCGTCCTTTACGGCGGTCTCCCTCCTGCCCCCTCACCTGCTGTCCTCCAACGCCTCCGTCCAACAGGTGGACGAATGTTTCAGGTCAACGGTGAGCCTGGTGGTCTTCGCCGCCTCCTTCATCACCAACCTGCTCCTCCTGCCYCTCTTCATCCTCATCCTGTGGGTGGGCTGGGAGCAGCGCTGGTCCCTGACCCACAGCGACGTCCTGCTGTTCCACTCCACCCTCATGTATGTCCCCTCCTCCCTGGGCTTCAGCCTCTTCTTCTTCGGCGGCTACCTGAACGACGGGCTCACGGCGCTGGTGGGACTCTACGCCTGGACCGTCACGGCGGGCGGGCAGGCCGTGCTGCACCTGCTCATGTGCGTGGAGCGCTACTTCGCGGTGCTGAGGCCCGTCAGGTACCTGGAGGTCAGGGGGTCGATGGGGGCGCGGCTCAGAAACGGCAGCGTGGCTTGTGTTTGGCTGCTGTGCGTCGGCTGGGCGGCCGTGGTGTTTCTGAGCAGCAAGCAGGTTTATTTGATCCTGGATTACATCATCACAGCCTTCCACCTGCTGGTCATCTGCTTCTGCAGCGTCTCCGTCCTCTGCGTCCTGAAGCGCCCCGGCCCGGGGGGCGGGCCGCGCAGGAACAGGGTGGACCGAAGCAAGCGGAGGGCGTTCTACATCATCGTGGCCATGATGGCGGCGCTGGCCTTGAGGTTCTCCTGGAACCTGATCAACGGGGTGCTGAGCAGCTCAGGGCTCCTGGACACGGAGCAGCAGTGTGTCTTTCTGTTGTCGGACGTTTGGTTTGACCTGCCCAGCAACCTGCTGCTGCCCCTGCTCTTCCTGCAGCACAGACACAAACTGCAGTGCTGCTCGCACACCCCCGAGGCGGGCTGACAGAGTCGTAGCTTTAATAAAACAGTCGTTCTGCTRCTGATGAAAAATGAGTTTATTGTAGAAATCTGACACAATACTTCAAGACTTCAACAATTTAAACAACAAAACTTTGTTATATATTATATTAATTTTTAATTGTTATTTTATGCTGATCTGTTTTGATCAAACCAAAAGTCAGGAGATGTCTTTGTTTTATATTTCTTTGTCTTATGATGAAAGTTATGGAGGACCGAAACTGACATAATTATAATAAAAGCAGAAATATATAAATGGACTATTAAATAAATACACTTAAAATGCACCAGTTAAATTGAAAAAGGAGAACTTTACCATGTTTCATAATTTAATTGACCTTCATATTTATTTTTTCAGCTTAGTTCCAATAAATTATATATTTTAGCACATAATTTAAATTTTACTGTTTTTCAAAACTTACATTTATATTGTTTTCCTTTTACTTGTAGATGTATTTGTATCTCCTAAATGTTTATATTTATTTTTTAATATTTTAAAGTTTAGTTTAAAACCAAACCAAGCAGGAAAACACAAACCTGTCTTTGTTGTTAACTAAAAACTTTAAACTTTAAGCTAAACTGACCCAGCAGCAGCAGCTGTGTAGATCTGCACACGGATCCTGCTCCTTCCTGTCTGCTGACCAATGGGAGAGCAGCTGACCCAAGAAGCTCCGCCCACCTTATTTGCATAATGAGGAAGAAATGCATAAGGTAAAGTAAAAACAGGCAGAGAAACAAAAGCAACACATGGAAATAAAGACTTGTGGGAAAAATTCTAAAAATAAAATTAAAAAAAATTATTTAAGTGACAACATGTGTGTAAGTAAAAGGAAAGACAAATTATATTTTTATAAACAGTAAAATGTAAATTA